TTTGAGACTTACATATGTTTTCTTTCTTTTAACTTGCTTGCCTCTAACATTGTTGAACTTTCCATCCTCTCCTATAAGCTAAGTAAAGCTTGTGAAATTGATTCTAGTTTAGTAAAGATGTTGGAAAATTTAGCTACGCTCTCTTGTGCCTAGAAATTGGCCAACTCTTCTTTAATGAAGAAATATCCAAAAATAATAAATAATTCTTATTGATTTAATTTTCAATATGGGCATAATTAATGGTTAACCTATATGATGTCCTCTCCATAGAACTGAGAAATGATTTGTTTGGGAAATTAATTTGACCAAACCACCTTACTTATGAATCTCAAGAATGGTACAGTAGGAACCCTATAAGTTGGTCATTCCATATGTAATATATTTTAAATAGAAATTTTTAGATTTTTGATAGAAAATTTGGACATTCTTTCATAAATTATTATATTCTAAACGAAATGAGTATGAGTATGTATTTTGTGGTTATATTGAGGGTGAATTTAGAAGTAATTATGAACTAATTCAAATTTTTGTGTGACTTCTTGTTTTAATATATGTGGAAAAAAATATTCCAAGTTCCTTAGAATATTGGCAGCAATATGTTTTAGTTTAGACTATATGGAATAACTTCATGGTATCAAAGAAATTGGAGGATTAGATATAAAACGCATAACTAATATCCAAAATATAGGAAACCAACACTAGGAATATATATATGCACACACATACATGTGGAAAGTATTAATCACACTTTAAGCATATAATAGTGGAAGTTTCTCTGTTTTAGGACACTTGAGGTTAGGATACCAAAGATTGGAGCCAAAGACATTATAAAGGCTACTTGAGGTATGGACTACTATCCTTTTGTGTAACTGATGCACAAGCCATATAAATTACACATCTGTTGGGATAAATTATAAAATTTTCATGGATGATAGATTAGATTACTCAAAGTTATGTTGAAACTTATTTCTAGAAATTTGGAAATAATTTTAATTGCATAGTATAATTAGTGTGAAACTTGGAGTCTAGATATGGATATGCCTATCAAGACAACATACAATATATTTGAGGTTTTCGAAACATTCTCCTGGATAGTAGAAAGCAAGTCTCCAAGGAAGAATGAGGAAATTACATTCATTAAGGTGCTTCTAGAATTAGGTATGAACAGTAAGGGTCCTCTCCAGGATTATATCTCTAGGATTTAAATTTATTTATATGACCCTAAGAGGCAAAAAAAAAAAAAAAAATTCGAGGATTCGATAGGGATAAAAAGAAGGGGGAACTTCACGTCAAGATTAGCATATGTTAACATTTGATGAAGTAGGAGGAATTTTTTTATAAAACCATGGAAAATTGGAAAAGATGCTCATTAAAATGATCGAGTTTTATTTAGATTAGAAACTTCTTAAAACTATTTTCTTAAATGGGCAACATTGTTGAAGTGATAACCACCACACTTGAAATGGATGAGCTGCTGTTGGGAAAGGTAAACCCAAAAGTGATTATTCCTAACCTTGAGGAAATGATCTCTCTCTCTGTCTCTCTATTTGGAGAAAGTCAAGGTCACACCAACAAAATTTATTTACTTTAATTAGACATTTTTGGATATTTATTTTAAAATTTTAGAGCTCAATTTGAGGTCTTAGAAAAGAGAAAGGGTAGTGAGGAAAATTCTCAGAGGATTATGATGATACTTAGAGGATATCAATAGATTAAGGACTTAAGATCCTTTATCTATCTTTGCGTTAATAGTCTTTCAAGTGAGTATCCTGAATCTTTGCGTTAGTAGTCTCTCAAGTGAGTATCCTGAATGTACCAATTGAATTGAAAAATTAGGAATAATCATGATTAACATTAATTGCTAAGGAGTTAATTAGTTAATACTCCCTCTCTCCTAAATTATAAGACACTTTTAGATAAAAATTTTGCATACCAATAAATCTCATTAACTACACTTAACAACCTTATCTTTTCAAAACAAAAATATAAACTTTCAAAAATACCCATCATTTAATATATTGAAAAGAGAAGTGATAAAAATTAATTATAGAAATAGAAAGGGTAATATTGAAATTGGTGCATTTAATGAAATCTTAATCTAACCAAAGTGTTTTATATTTTGGAATAAATAAACTTTAAAAATGCCTTATAATTTGAAATGGAGGGAGTAGATTAAAAGAAGTGCTAGAGAATATGAATATGAAATAATGAGTAATTTGAGATATCAGCCCAATATGCTAAGTTCAAAATCTTTGGAATTGTTTTCATCCTATTAGAGATAATAGGGTTAGGAGGTCAAGATCAACCCCACACACACACACACATTTTTTAAACTCTACGGAATAATTAGATATTTAGAGACTAAAGTATAAAAGATAAATAGATTTTAGGATGATTCAAGAAAAAATAAAGTTAGAACTTAATCAAGCAATTGTAGTGAATTTGTTCATCTTGACAAATATTACCTAAACTTGTAAAAAGTTTTTGAAATTCACACGATTATCTAGTGATATAATCTTGATATAATTCAAGGCGTCACTTGTGAGGTTTAGAAATCACGATAAAAAAAAGAAATCTTGTCAAGGTTAAACATGAACTTTGATGGATTTTCCATTTGAGAGAATTGTCTAAAGCCTTAGGAAAGAATTTTAAATTAAGGTAGCTTGCCACCATAGTCTCATCATGATCATACTTTACAAAGCTTTAAACTCCAAGAAGCATGTATTAACCTTGTCTTGATATGAGTCGGTTCTAAGAGGATACAAAAGTATTTTTTTTTTTTGGTTAAAAATCATCACTAATTTTAAAGGCCCAAAATTAAATAAAAAAGAAAAAAAATATTTTTGGGTAGCCTCCAAGCCAAGATCAATGGTCACTATTCAACGATGATTATTAGATATAGATTTGCAACTTGGAGGACAAGACAAGGAAGCTTTCAAGCAAGAAGAGTGGCTTGTTGAGCAAGCTCATTTCCATCTATAAATAGTGCTTGATTAGTCTTCTAGTGCATTAAGCGGTGAGTAAGAAAAGGAGGAAGAAGAAAGAGGAATGAATGCCGTGGGTAGTGAAAAAAGAGTGGAAGAGAGGACAGAGAAAGACAAAAGAAGGAGTTGCACGTGAGGAAGGAGTTGCACGTGAGGGAGAGAGAGGAAAGAGAAACATTTTGTAGCTTGAATTTGCAATAAAATTTCCTCTTTCATTTTCTTCAAATAGCTTGGGCCTTTTTCAATCACAAACCCTACAAGTGATATCAAAGCTTTAGTTTTTAATATGCTCTGTGGTTGCAACTTAGTCTGATCTTCACATCAAAAAAGAATCTAAATATTGAAACTATTTTAGATCTAGTCCGTGTGACATCATTGTATAAAAATTGTATGTGAGGGAGATGTTTCTCGTGCACAATTTGGAACTGTGAGTTCATTGGTTTAGAATCATAATTACTTAGTGAGATGTGAGGTTGCTAAAATCAAGTCTCAAGGCAAATCCAATCAGCGTCCAGTATCATCAAGAAATTAAATAACAACAATTATAGCATGCGGAAGACATGCATGGAGTCATACATGCTTGGAATGAGACTATCTCACCCCCTAAAGAATATGCAGCAATCTCAAGAAGTGGAAGATTAAAGCTGAAAAAGAAAACCACCATCGAGGAAGAGATGATGGAGCACGAAGCTTCCACACCAAAGAAGGCTTGGGATTTTCTTACTTTGCGATTTGCAAAGAAGAATGATACAAGATTGCAGCTGTTGGAAAATGAACTAATGTTCACCTCACAGCGAGGTATGATGATTAGCCCATATTTCACAAAAGTGAAATCTTTGTGCAGAGAAATTTTTGAATTGGATGAGGCATCCAAGATTGGCAATGATGGATGCAACGGATCATCACACATGGCTTGTGATATAAATACAGAGGATTCATGGCTGTAATTCAAAGTTGGCTCGTACGACCATCAATTGAAGAATTGGAGAATTTGCTGACAAGACAAGAGGTTATAGAAAAACAAATGGCTAGAGTATCCTTAAAAAGTGAGGAGGTGGCACTCTTCACCAACAAGAGGGGAAATCAATCTCTTGTTTAGAACAAAGACAAGACGCTACGAAGTAATCGATATAAGGGAGGTCAGTAGAAGCAACACCAGGATAATCAACAGTCAAAAAGCTTTAGATATCACAGTGGCGATTATTTCAATTCTGGCAAGAAGGGACACTTCACAAGAGATTGCCAGTACAAGAGCGAGTTGAAAGTAATATAGCAACGGTGAGCAAGTCATTGGCAGAACCTAAGTGGAATGTCAAAGCATTGCACACTCATTTAGAAACAATGTAAAATTCTTCCAATTTAGAAATTGCCGAAGCGCCTAGTTTTGTGGCTACCACAATAGAGGAAGAAATAGAATAGGCTTGTTGTTCTAGTCATGTGATTATAGCAACTATGGGCATGCCAATCAACACTACCATGCATATGATTTGATTGATCAATTCAACCTTGAAAAATCCTCATTGGTATTACTCTTGGTTGATATTTGCTCTAAACACTTGAGAAAGTTTATAAAGGTATTTGAAATTTATATTAACAAATTTTTTATCTTACCTACTTCATTAAACTCAACTTATCATAAAGGTATTTAAAGTCAAAAATTTCTCAAACAATCAATTCACCCTTTTTTAACTCTTTGATATTATTGTCATTTCTTTTAGAATATTGTATTAAAAGAAAAGGTTTTAAATCCCATACACTTATTGATCTATAATTGACTTTTTTAACCCATTTTAGTTTTTTTTAAAAACATGTCTTGAGGCATCAAATAGTATTGTCACATTGATATAAGATACCATACCAACACAATTACTCCAAACAATTTGAAATATCAAGTGCTTTGTAAATCTAAATGATGCTAGTGGTCGTACCGAGGGCCAATTTTTTTTTTTTTAACTTTCAAAAATGTAAAAATAAGTTGATATCCAAGCGTGTCATTATAATAGTCCTAGCCAAGGCTTCAAAAATGAGATCAGATTGACTGGTTCCTCAGTCTAGTCACGTACATGACCAAAACTGGACAAGCATAGAACCGGTCAAAGAGCAACTAGACCAGTCAAAAACCAGCAGAACCAATTCTATGCCTGAACTGGACACTACGCAAGTCCAAGCCTCATACAATATCTTCTGTTATAGATGAATCATCGACCTGATGAATGTCAATCAGTATAGTATCCACGCAAGGCCAAGATACAACCCAACAAGAACCTATGTCTCCCATAAATGAATAACAAAATAAATTCAACAAGACGTTGATCATGTGCTAGACCCTAAAGTCATAACTACCTGGGAAATACTCCTACAAAGCTTCATAAGTCTTGAATAACCGACAGTCACTCTCTCAGTTGCTGTTCTTATATCAACTTCAAGCGACCTAGAAAGAGACTTTTGTTCCACATCAGCAACATAAGATATATGAGATGGAAGAATCTCCATTGGATAGACCCCACTGCTTAGAAACCATTTGTAGAATCAGTCAGAGTTGAGAAATTGCACAATCAAAGATCATTAAATAGAGGGGGAAAAGCATCATATTGGTGAGACCATGACTCAGGCAATCACAGCAACAGAAAGCAGGGTGAAAAATTAATCTATGTAGTGTTTCAAACAGTTCTCGGACAAACCAACGCACCCAAAACCAGTGGAATTCCACGGAGACCAGATTAATTGATCAGACAGAGTAGCATTTTGCTTGAGCTTTGGTATCCCATGTCTTTAATCCAAACTAATCTAGTCGACAATTGAAGGCCCACCAAGAATTTAAACACTACTACACATCCAAGACTTGAACTTGAAACCTTTGATTAAGTTGGACCAACTCCCTTACTAGTTGATCTAAGCACTCCGTGTTCTGGCTTCCCTTTTTCAACAGATAACTACATAGTTTCATTTCATAAAAGTTATTACTTTGCATAAATTTCAGTTTTATATAATAACTTATAGAAATAGAGTATAATATATTGGTTCAATTCATGATTTGTAATTTACAATTATATCAAGAGTAAATATGTAAATTAGTTGCTGGTCAAAAAAAAAAAATGTAAATTAGTTAAACCATATGAGAATTTTTGTTGCATACATGAGTTGTTTCTCATCATTATATAACAATGAATCTCTACATACTCATAATTTTTTTTTTTTACATGTGCCATATTCAACATAAAATAATTTTTTTAATTAAAAATAACTAATTCAGCTAGTTTGGTTCAAACATTTTTCAGTGGAGGAGAGGGGCCTCCTACCACTCCCCTCTCCCCCAACTTAGCCAAATAAGGGATCCTCCCCTCACTTTCCCTCCTCTCAACAAAATCCCTCCCATCCCCTTCCTTTTGTTAAACCAAACACGGCATCAAGAATTGGAAGATTGCTTGCTCTTGCTGTGCCTCTTTGAATTGTTCTCTCATCAAATCCATTCATCAAAGATAAAATTCTAGCAGTTGCTGAAGCCTAACTTTTTTAAGTTCATCAAGTGACAAGTTGAACTTAAAAAAAAAATAAACAAATAAAAATTGGGGTGGGGAAACTTAGGTATTTAAACTTAATACACTTTCTTCTCATCAAACAAAAATAAGTGGATTTTAAATTTCCAAAAAAAAAAAAAAGTTTATATATGTTAATAACAAGAATTAGTGATATAGTAAAAATATGCACATATCCTAATTTGATTAAGGAAAAAAATGTATATAAGAATATAAGCTTAAATACCCAAGTTTTTTATCTTGAAATATATATTAAAAAAAAAACAGAATAAGCAACCTAAGATCAGCTAAAGTCAAAAAGAAAAGACCGTTAAAAGGGACCTTACCATTTCAAGCAGGCCATATCAAAAACTACTTTAAACTTTCTGCCAGTACTGAAGTCAACGAAAGACAGCAGCAACTCAAGCTGGTCAACTGCAAATTCAGCAAACATTAAATGACACTCTAGATTTTGCATTTACGAATCAAGTGAATCAAAATCACAATAGCCTAACAGACAAATTTTGCAATAATAGTTTGACAATAACAAATTCATAATTAATAAGTCGTTCAGGCAGTCCAATCTAATCCGCACGTTAGATTATATAGGACAAAGAAATGCTATTGTCAATTGCAATAATATTTGCAAATTCTATCTTGAGAAATTTTACATATCTTGCAAATTAAGTCACATATTTTAATTGAATTTCATATAACCAACCTCACATAGTGAGACAAAGCTTGTTATTATATTCTTTTAATTGAATAATCAATTTACAATTTTAAATATTAAGGCACATTTGTGGGAAAAAACCAAAACCAAAGCTAACAACCCAAAGGCAATTGAATTTGAAATTTAGGTCCATGAAATTTCATATATGCAATTGAATAATTGGTAGAATATCTTCCCAAAACATAAGAGTTTAGCATCATTAAGCATATACTAAAAGCTCATAATCCCCATCCAATTCAACCTTCTCCAATTTTGAATTTCTGAGAACAAAATTACAAATAATAGCAAAATGGATAATATTCAAAAATCATGGCAAATTATGCAAATTACACTAGCAGTATCAAAGTAAAACATGAGAGCAAATAAATTTTAAAAATAATTGTTAGTCAATATATGCATTAATCAAATGGGGCACATCTTAAGACTGTACAGAATTTTCAATTACCTAAAAGGATAACCAGAAAGAGGTCACTTGTTTAAAAAGGGAAACGGAGCTCAAGTAGTATACACAAATACCGATTTGGCTGGTTCACTAGGTGAAAGAAGATCAGCTGGTGGATATATTGTGCTTTTGTACTGGGAAACCCAGTGACATGGTTAAGCAAGGGGAAAAAAAAAGTGGAGGCAAGAAGTAGTGGAACTCTGGAGAATTGACTCAAGGGCTATGTGAAGGGTTATGGCTCAAAAAAACTGTTTGAAGAATTACACGTCAGTGCAAAAAACTGCATGTCAGGGTATATTGTGACAGCAAAGCAGCAATTAATATATCTCAACCTGGTGCAACATGATAGAACAAAACATGGACAGTCGACAAACACTTCATCCAAGAAAAAGTGGAAGGAATTATGTGCATGACATATATTCCCACAAAGGAACAAACAGCTAATCTCCTCACAAGGGGCTTACCACTTCATACATTGGAAAGACTCCTTGGTAAATTGGACATTATTAACATTTACAATCCAGCTTGAGGAGTACAGAAATCCTTATATTTCAGGATTATTGATGAATGGGTGCCAAACTGGCTTTTTACTATTATCATATCTGCTTTTATTATAGAGAAAATCTGGTGATTATTGAGAGATTTTTGGGATTGATTGTAGCAATTCTTTGATTCTTTTCCTGTACATAGTATTTGGGTTGTTTTGAGTTTTACCTCAGATTTTAGAATCGATACGAAACTTTAATCATCCACACTAGTAAGCTCAGATGGTAATATTCACGGAAATGGCAAGAAAATTTTCACCTGATTGAGAATAGAATTTCACTTGCACCAAATTTCTGATCTCTATGCGAGCTAACTGAACCTCCTCAATCACATCAAGCAGATTGCACAGAAGTGAACTTGTCATCTACATAGAATCTCACGTTAGCATCCCCAAAATATTGGAAATAATTTAAATGTTAGAAGCTATACTTGCCAACTTATAATTATATGCTTGCTTAAATAATTTAAAGCAATAATATTCCCAAGAGATAAAGGGGGGTACCAATAGAAAAGATCATGTATTAGAAGTTTTGATAAGGATTCTACTAGGGAAAATCTCAAGAACCGTAATCCGCAAGATTTTGAGTTACACTAATGGTATGAGAAATAGAAAGACAAGACAAAGTGGTACTCAACAAGATTTATGCTAATTATATGCTGCTGATTCATAGACCTAAGTAGACTTCACTTTTAATATGTAGATCTGAGGCTCTAGTTAACATACTAACCTATCTCGGATGTGTCACTGTTAGGCATGAAGACAGCCACAACACATTTGAGTGTAAAGTCCCTTTTTTTTGTTTTTTGGCCCCAACACAACTTGGGTTCAATTCACAAACGCCATTTTTTTTTGTTGGGAGGGGGGAGGGGGACTATGAAACGAAAAAAAAAAAAAACTCCTTTTATAATAGAAATCAGTTGTTATTTCTTTTTTTTAAAAAAAAAATCAGTTGTTATTTCTAAGCTTTTCTTTTTCCTGTACATTAATGACAAGGGGCCCATTAAATGAAACTAAAACATCTGTATTTGCTACAACAGATAATTAGATATTATAAGCCTACAATTTTATGATAAGAATACTAAGAACTTCCTCGTTTAGCAATCCTCAAGTGTTTGTATGCAGCTAAAGACGCTATAGTCAATAGTGAATCTTAAATGGTAATATTTCCAATCAACTAAATATTAATACGTGTGTTGTTTATTATTATTAGTACTATTTTGTGTTCTTTTTTTTTTTTCGAAGTGCCATTGGGTACATTTCACATCATGTGCCCTAGCTCCAAAGTTGCTCATATTCAAGAACAGTGCTTTTTGATGGGTTTGGTAAACCTAGGGTACGTCCATAAACTTTAGAACATTATGCAGTGATGAAATTCAACAACTTTTGCCAGATAAAGGAGGATAGAGTTTTAGAGGAAAATTTGTCCTCAATAATGCTCCAGGCAAAGATTGTTTTCTCACCCTATTTGTGGCATCATGCAAATGGTATCTTCAAGGGAATGTTCTTACTCGATTCAAGGAGAAATTGAAGAACCTTTTGCATCAAAGATTCCCATGAGTAAGGTGCCTTAGGCTTTTCCTTTTGCAAGGTAAAAGGCACAAAAGGTGCTCGCCACTTGGAACCTCAAAGAAGGCAGCATCTCTCATGATGCATGCTTGAGATGCTGGACTGTTTAGCCCTTGCCTAGTGCCTTAGACTCTAACGTGTGAATGAAATTTTTAATTGTAGTTTGTCATTGTCATCATAAATAATATTATATCAAATTATTAATATTAATAAAAAAATTATTCAATCATTAATCACGACTACTACCTCATAAAAATAATATAGTCCTTTAGAAAAGAAACTAAACGTCAATTAAATCCCATGCAACATCAGAATTAGTGATGCTCACCTGTGTTTCTCGTACCAAACATCTTGAACCATTGCATTTCTTAGTGGTATCAGGATTTAAGACAAACACAAAAGCTGCAAACGCATCCATGTTTGGAAAGCTCTAAATCCAAAAAAGAAAAAAGCATTAAAACAATAGAAGTGTGCATAATATAAAATTAAATGCCACCTAAATTACCTTCAAAATATTTTGATCATTCAATTTGTTGGAGATTATTATTGTTGATGAATCAGTAAGTACTAGTAACCTACATACCATAAAAAGACACATGTACATTTAGTTTTATAATTAGTCATACACTAAAACTCCAACTATATAGATACATAAGGAATTAGATCAAAGAGTTAACCTCTGGATGATGCAACCGCAATAGTTGAGAACAATTTCGTAACAAGCATCCCTATGCTCAAGATTTTCAATCTCCCACAACTAACAAAAGGGTAATAATGAAGACAGTTTCTGAGCATAGGTAAGTTTAATATATGTACAAGAAAACCACATGAACAGAAGAAATACCTGCAGATTTCTTGATATAAGCTTATAAGACATTCGCTTCTTCAAATAATCATGAAATAGTGTTATAGAATCAGCACTGTTCTGATCATACTCCAACTTGCAACAACTATGAAGGAATTTAGTTAAGGATTTTGCCTCATGAACCAAAGCTTCAAGCTCCAACGATATTGCCTTCATTTTGTTGCAAGAAACAAAACATTGTCAAATCAAGATTGCCAGTTGAACATGCCAAGCACAATATTCTATACATATACACAACTGCACCAACCAATTATAAATAGGAAGTATGAGACTGAAAAAATCAGGTATAATATGTAGAGGCAAACATTTTAACCAGCACATATATATACTCCCTCCAGTCTATAATAAAGGGAATTTTCTAGAAACCCTACTTGGTTCAAAATGTAGGGCATTGAATGGTTTTTATAATTTTTTCCAACTATACCCTTACTTCATTATTCCAATAAAAATGATAATTTGGAATTTTAATTGTCATTATTAAGGGTTGAAGGTATTTTGACTAGAAGAATAATATATTATTTCACTGTGCAGATATATATACACGATTACAAGGCTCACTGCACAAGGAAATAATCAGAAAAAATCAAATCACTTATTCACCCTCATAATCTTGTCTAATCATATCCCCATAAATCAGAATCATACCCCTATTAATTAGAAAAGAATATTTCCTAATTAATTATATTTCACACTCCCCCTCAAGTTGGATCATAGATGTTAATCATATCCAACTTGCTTATACAATTTTCAAATGCGGGCTTATGTAATCCCTTGGTCAACATATCAGCTGCTTGGAGACTTGTTGGTAAGAAGGTCAAACAAATGATCCCATCTTCCACTTCTCTAATAAAATGCCAGTCGATTTCTACATGTTTTGACCTTTCATGCTGTACTGGATTTAAGGCCATGCTTATAGCTACCTTGTTATCACAGTATAAATTTAGTGGTACATCTAGTTTGACATGTATTTCCTCAAGTATTCTTTTCAACCATATTTCCTCCATTATGCCTTGAGCTAAGGCCCTTAACTCAGATTCAGCACCACTCTTAGATACAACTCTTTGCTTCTGACTTTTCCATGTAACCAAGTTTCCCCACACGAATGAACAGTAACCAGAAGTAGATCTCCTATTTGGGTGATGTCCAACCCCAATCTGCATCGGTGTATACTTCTATGGTTCTCCGTTCATGTTTCTAAAACAAGCAGCCCTTTCCAAGGGTGCCCTTCAGGTATCTCAGAATCCTGTATGCTGCTTCCATATGTTTTACCTTTGACTAACACATATATTGACTAGCTACACTTACTGCAAAATCTATACTGGGTCGTGTATGAGAGAGGTAGATAAGTTTCCCCACGAATCTTTGATATCTTTCTTTATCAACTGGTTTGTCTTTTTCCTCAACTTCCTTTTCTCCAATTTTCTTGGTCTCTTCATCAGAGTTTTCTTCCTTCTTTGTGAACTTTGGCCTCTTCTTTAGAACAACAATGGGTGTTTCAACAGGTTTACACCTTAACATGCCTGTCTCTTTTAAGAGATCAAGTATGTATTTCCGCTGAGATACATGAATTCCCTTCTTTGATCTTGCAACTTCCATTCTCAAGAAGTATCTTAACTTTCCTAGGTCCTTGACCTTAAACTATTGACTCAATGCATTCTTAATTTTTATGATTTCCTCACTATGATCACTAGAAATAACTATATCATCAACATACACAATGAGAATACACCTCTTACCTCCTTCCAGTTTAACATAGCATGATTTGATAGTCCTTGTTTGTAGCCCTGACACTTCAAGACTTGTGAGAATCTATCGAACCATGCTCTTGGTGACTGCTTTAATCCATACAGGGATTTCTTCAACTTGCACACTCGATCACCTTTGCCTTGATCAAAACCAAGAGGTAGAGTCATATACACTTCCTCTTTCAAGTCTCCATTTAAGAAGGAATTCTTGATGTCTAAGTTATGCAAAGGCCATTCGAGGTTTTCCGCTATAGATAGTAACACTCTGATGGTGTTTAGCTTGGCCACTGCTGCAAAAGTTTCTTGGTAGTCAATGCCACATGTTTGTGTGAACCCCCTAGCTACTAACCGGGCCTTCAACTTTTCAAAGTTCCCATCAGCTTTGAATTTTGAGGTGAACACCCACTTGCATCTTACAAGTTTCTTTTTCCTTGGTTTATTCACAATTTCCCAAGTCCCATTTTCCTCTAATGCTTTCATTTCTTCCAAGACAACTTCTCTCCATCTTGGTGATTCCAGAGCCTCATGAATATTATTTGGAATACTAACATCATCTAGGTTTGCAATGAAACCTTGATACCTAGGAGATATAACTTCATAGGACATATATTTTTGAATTGGATGCTGTATACAAGATTAGGGTTTCTTCCTGAAGGCAATTGGCAAATTTAGATCACTATCCAATTCTTTCCTGGCATCATTATTGACATTCATAGCCTCTATGATGTTCTCATTTCCTTCTACAGGATCTCTTATCGATTCTAAATCAAGGATTGCCTCAGGTGTGGGAGGTTTAGTACCTTGCTTCTTCTTCCTTTTATAGGTTATGATCTCTTTTTCTATGGTACTTGTGCCCTTGTTGTCCTTTGTGCCTGCATTTTCTTTTGCTTCTAGAATAAAAGAGACAGACATTGGCTCAAGAGAGTTGAGATCAATAGATGGAAGAGGGGAATACTCAGAGTGACTGAAAGTCATGCCAAGTCCCCCCTTGAATTGAGGGAGGAGGATAAAAGGAGTCATGTTAAGAAAAAGTGACATCATGACTAACGAATAGATGCCAGGAAGAGGGATCAAAACATTTGTAGCCTTTTTGAGAAGAATAACCAATGAACACACACTTGATGGCCTTAGGTTCAAGCTTAGAAGTGGGGTTAAGATGTACAAAAGCTGAGCACCCAAATATTTTCAAAGGGAGATTAGTTTCAAGATGGTGAAGAGAATGTATTTCATGTAGGCGATCAAGAGGTGTGATATAAGATAAGACTTTACTTGGCATTCAATTGATGAGGTAAGCAGCAGTAAGAATGGCATCACCCCAAAAGAATTTTGGCATGAGTGGTAAACATAAGGGCACAGGCAACCTCCAATAGGTGTTTATCTTTACATTTGGCAATACCATTTTGTTGGGGGGTATTTGTACAAGAGGTTTTATGGACGATGCCCTTCGTTTTCAAAAAATCACTCAGTTTTATTCAGGTATTCAGTACCATTTTCGATTTAGAACATTTGAATGGAGGTGTGAAATTGGTTAAGAATCATGGTGTAAAATGTAACAAACCAAGCACACACAAGTATGGTCATCTACAAATGTAACAAACCATTTGGCTGGAGTCCGGTTTGGAACACAGGAAGGACCCCACACATCACTATGAATGATAGAAAAAGGTTTAGATGGTTTGTATTCAGAATGCGGAAGTGAAGAACAATGGTGTTTAGCCAATTCACAAGTATCACAATGAAAAGTAAAAATTTTATTGAATGAAAAATGAGGAAACAAACGACTCAAGTATTGGACATTGGGATGACCCATTCTTTTATGCCATAACAAAATATCATTATTCTAAGAGGTGGACACAAGATTACACTGAATACGAGACCAAAGACTACTCACGGTTGATTCATTAAGGTAGTATAGCCCATCAAACTCCTCAGCACTGCCAATCATCTTCCTCGATGTGAGATCTTAAAAGATACAATTAGTAGAGAAAAAATGAGCACTACATCAAGCTTGTTTAGTCAAATTGCTTATGGATAACAAATTACAAGCTAAGCATGGAACATGAAGAATTGAATCCAGTTGTAAAAATTCAGAAATAGTAATGCTTCCCTTTCCAGCAATAGAGGAAGATGTTCCATTAGCAGTATCAATTTTCTCATGTCTACTACATGGAAAATATGATGTGAATAATGTGGAGTCTGCCGTCATGTGATTTGAGGCCCCAAAGTCAACAATCCACCAGGATTTATGGAAGGAGGTATTTAATGCATAATGATTATTACCTTGCTTAGCCACAGAATCAGTGTGTGGGTTTTGAGATGGTTGCTCAGGTTGTTGTAGAGTATTTAACACCTCCAGGAGCTTAATTAACTAGTCTTTATCCATTTGAGAGATAGCAACAGATTTGTCTAGGGCATTTTCAGAAGTAGCTTGATATCCACGTGCCTTACCCTTGCGTGGTTTCCAATCACTAGGCTTCCCATGAAGATCCCAACACTTGTCCTTTGTGTGTCCAGTCTTTTTACAATGATCACACGAGATTTTCCCTTTTGTCTCTTTCGTACCTTGATCAGAGTTCCTACTTACCAAGGCAGAAGGTTCAAAAGAGGAAGAAACAAGAACAGGGTTAATAAGCATCACCTTTCAGCGAGAAGTCTCTCTACAGACTTCTCCAAATGCATCTCGTGCTGAGGGTAATGGCGAACGAGCTAGGATTCTGCTTTGGACATCATCTAATGAGTGATGAAGACCAGCCAAGAATTGAAACACCCGCTCATCCTCAACTCATTTTTTGTACCTTGCTGCATCACGGGCACAGGACCATTCCTCTTCTATGTTGAGGTCGATCTCTTGCCATGATGCAGCTAGTTCTAACCAATATTCGGTCAAATCATGTTCAGCTTGTTTAATCTGCTAGCTTTGAGTTTTTAGCTCATATGTTCGAGCACTGTCTTCACCAACCGAGTATGATTTTCAAACAACTTCCTAGATGTCTCTTGCAGTAGGCAAAAACATGAAAGAGTGTCGAACCTGTGGAGTCATAGTTGTGACCAACCATAAAGCAACTAGTGAGTTCTCGGTCTCCTACTTCGACAGGGCTGCTGCGTCTGACTCGTCTGGTACCTTAGAAGTACCAGTGATGAAGCCCAATTTGCCATGACCACCAATAGCGATCCATATAGTTTGAGCCCACTCATGGTAATTATGTCCGTTAAATTTATCGGACACCAAGAGAATAGAGGACCCTTCGGCAAAACTCAACCCGAGGGGAGTTCCACCATGGGTGTGCGATAGAGTTCTCGGCGCTCGAGCCCATAGACGAAGGTCTCAAGTTGCTCGACTGTGACTCCTCTACTGGTTGCACGATGTCGTCTACGTTTTCTAGGTCAGAACTGTCGATTAGCTCTGATACCATGAAGGTATTTTGACCAGAAGAATAATATATTATTTCATTGTGCAAATATATATACACAATTACAAGGCTAACTGTACAAGGAAATAATCAGAAAAAATCAAATCACTTATTACCCTCATAATCTTGTCTAATCATATCCCCATAAATCAGAATCATATCCCTATTAATTAGAAAAGAATATTTCCTAATTAATTATATTTCACAAGGGTCCACACACGTGCCAATAAAGGTTGTTGAGTGTCCATGCATTAAATGAAAAAAATAGCCATAAGTCAATTTAAACTCCCAACGATTCATCTACTCACATCCCTCTTTCAACGGCCACATTCTTCAACTAGTAAGGTTTTTTTAGTCTCTTGCCTTCGATGGCAGATACAGTGTTTCTAGAGGAAACTTTTGTTGTTGTCAAAGATTCTTTGATAATGAGGATGCCATGAGCAAGATGACTGCAAAGATGCCTGCACAAGAAGACGATTAAGCACAGCATTGTCATTTGCAAAGCTGGTCAGCTTAGTGTTTATGACAAAACACAATTGTGTTGCTGTCATCAACAAGGTAGCACCATTGGAACAAAGTGTGACTATCTGCATGTTTGGCTCTTCACCTCCAGACCCGTTCAAACATGAGTCATCTTCATCTATAAAGGTTGTCTCTATATTTAAGTCGAAAGCTAAAATGGGAGTTGTTGCATGCATTCCTACCATGTTGATTGAGGCGGTTCCATTATTTGCAAGAATAGGAAGCCAGACTTTGTAACCTTCCATTGAATATATGGTTAGGCGGGGCAGTTTGGTTTTCTAAATGAGCCAACTTGCGTGACCTTTTAATTTCTCTTCCAAATTGAGGTATTTATGGAGAAGGTGAACCTGCCATTTAAATCTCATCCAAATGTTATGATCCAAATGCCTCACCCACCATTTTTATTTTTATTTTTTTTTTTCAAAGCTTCATGCCACTTCCTATTGTGCTAATGAGAATCTTCTAAAAACTGATGGCTTAAATATTCATGATCAGCATTAAGAAATTAATATAATTAATAATGGTGTTTTAAACAAGTCAAATATTATATCTATTCTGTTCAGGGGCATAATTAGAAAGATGTAAAAAAATTTTAAAGATAAAGTTTTCAACTGACTTCTTTTAAAACTATGAAGTAGTTATGAATACCTTATATCATAGAATGGAGGGAGTATATGTTTAATGTCTTTGCTTTGTAGATCAATATATCAAATAAAGATATATGGATAATCAACTTTTTATGATGGACAAAAGGGTTGGAGAATTCATAACTGACATTTACTCTTTGTCCATTTCTTAAACAAACAGACGGGCTTTTGGGAGGAGAGTAGCCTAAAAGAAGCGTTTATTTTCTTTAATCCAAACTGTCAAGTAGAGAATGGTATCAAAATAATAAACAAATTTTCTCCACTCCCTGACTTAGAGAAAAATATCTTTCTTAGAGAAAAATTTGTTTTGGGTCACTATAGGACAATACTTAGAGAAAAATCTTTCTCTAAGTTGAGGAGTGGAGAAAATTTGTTTTTCAGCAAGAGTTTTGGGTCACTATAGGACAATACTTAAGAAAAATCAAAATACTTCTATTGAATGAAGGTCTGGTGGAGAAAGATGAACAACTTCTTCAACACGATGCGCTTGTATTAGCAGTAGGGTTAGACTCAACATAAGTTGTATTTCGTGAGACAAATTCTGATGTGGAAGTTATAGATCACTAGCTAACAATAACCAAAAGATTCACAAAGTTCAGAACTAAATATTTTCATGCTTGACAAGTCAGCGAAAAGAGAGCAAGAGAGAAATTAATGCCAAGTTTTCAAATTGTGGAACTTTATAGCCAAAAAAAGAGGTAACCACAAGTCATAGTATTACTTATTTTGATTTTTTTTTTTCCAACTTATTTCCCATTCCAATACCACAAATAGCGCCTATTTCTCTTGAATTATCTTCTAATAAATATTAAAAAGGCAACATGAAGATTCAGAAAGCCCCCGTCACTAGGTCAATCAACATAACTACAAAATACACATACCTGACATTTTCCTTCAGAACTGACCAAGCTAGAAAGGATGAGACTCTTAGATGGAGCATTATTGGAAATTTTAGATGAAAATGAAGCACAAGTTGGCTTCAATTTTTGACACTCCTGAAGTGCAGAGGTCAACTGCTGTACCCTTTTCTGCTAGTAATAGAAGCGCACATCACAAACTACAAGAAACTTAGATAGCTAAGAAACATGCAACAGAATACCTGTAATATCTCACGCTTCATATGCATTAGTTGCAGTTTGGCCTTCTCATATGCTATGCTATACAGCACCATTCTTGTTTCCATAACTCTGAAAATAATCAGAATTATCGTAACAGTTTTTCCATGGCAAACCAAAAAGAAAAACATAATCCACACGCTGCCTTAATTATATGGAGTAAGATAATTACTTTCTATGACTTAGAATGCTTAGAGGCTCGGTTATTTTCTGCTGAAATCAAAACAAGTAGAATCAATGAGAAGGAACATGGTCCAATCACCAAAAACACATCTTTATATGTGATTATTAGACAAACCTGAGAATGAATTTCCGCACAAAGAATCTCAAATTTTTTAACCCTCCACAGATGAACCAAAACATCTTCCAGCATGCCAATCTAATATAGTGAATTAGCAAGAACATGTCATATGTTTAGTTTTCACAAACTTTTAAGAAAAATGACATGGGTAATGAAGTGAAAGAGAAATAATATTCACAAACTTAATCTACATGATGTCTTATTTAATTTTCTACCCATATGTGATATTCTTTTGCATGGAACATACCATTTTCAAATTTAGCTTATTTGATGACGGACCAAGCAAATATGTTGTACTCCCTGAGAATTTTCCTAGAATCTGCAAGAAATATGTACAGTCAAGAGATGCAATGATACAACTGAAATATGATTTAACTTTAACATAAACAGTAATCATACATTGACATGATTTTTCAACGTCTGTTTTCCAAGCTTCTCTCTATCACTTCTTATATCATCTGACTGATGCAAGATTATCTGTAAATCCATATTCTCATTTGCATGGACCTGTGAAGTACCATCAATTCTCCTCATTTTATCTACAGTGTTGTCTTCCCTTAGTAGTTTGGTTTCTTTTCTTTTCTTCCCAGAATGATTTTCCACACAAAATTCATTAGAAGGGCTGTCAGCTACTCGGGTTTGTAGCACCTGATGGCAGCTAACATTGGAACCATCTGAGTTGTGGTGAGGTGATTCACTGGGCAGCCCTTCCACAAGAGGTAACAAAATTGATGCTTCATGGATTGGACTTTGTTTCACACCTTCTGTATTGGCGCTCAGAACTTGTGCTTTCTCAGCCAGACACTCAGCTGAATTATTCCTGTACATAGCCTAAGTTACCCAACCAACAAAATCAGTGTCAGATCAACACGGATGAAGGGAGGAATAACATCATCAACATCAACAATATAAAATAAAGGAAAAATCAGAAGTAACGTTTCAATTAATGGTAAGACATGCCTAAACTCTTCTTAGGCGCATCTATTTCAAGAAAAAAATTTTGCAGCATTATTAATATTAAGGGTATGTTTGGTAGCACGTGGCAACGGCGTAAGAAAAGGTAGTTATGAGAAATTAAGTGTCAATTTGCTTTTCAATATCTCTTACACCTTTCTTATCAGTCATCAACAGTACTATTTCTTTCTATTATTTTTTTATAAAGAACCAGAGTGATTTACATCTACATTACCTCCTCTTTTTGCCATCCTGCAAGCAACCATACATAACCTAAGAAAACCAAGAATTTTTGTAACGTGTTTAGACAAAATCAGTACTGACTTGAAGTTTTCTTTGAAAATTTCTTGAGGCAAAAGTTCAATTACAACTGGACCTGGCAGGTGAACATTCAGTTCACAATTTATATTCCTCGTAACAGTAATAATCATAATGCTGTTGGGAACCCGCAAGTACAATACAATTAAAGATATTGGAAGTTTAAACATGATATAACATCAACGTAACCAAAGTTGTTTGAGATGGCCTTCTTCCAAAAGCCTGACTTCTCAAAGGAAGAACCAGAGTCTAAATAGATACGTGAATTTTACATAGAAAGGTACAGAAAATAATGGAAGCGAGAGGAGCACAATCCATAAAAATCAATGAATTAATATCAAGAATGGACTTGTCTTTAACTACTGTAAAGATGTCTCTAAATTTGTTCAAACATATGGATCTTTAGTTTTCTTCTTACCTTAGAAAATGGGACGACATCTGCAACTTCAAAAGCTGAGCTTTCATTGTTTGTAGATATGGGCATATCCATATGTTTAGCTGCCGTAGCCAGAGAGCTACCTTCATCAAAATGCCCTGAGCCGCTACAAGCAGAAGCATTCTGCTGATCTAGCTGTTTAAACTTGCTAAAGCAATTCTTTTGGCTCTCTAAGGATGGTGATGACCATTGGTCCAATAATTCCAAAGGGGAAGAACATTTTTTATGCATATAAACCACATTTTCATCTTTTATTGTCTCAACTGTGCCATCTGCCAGGTCAAAATTTATCTTTTTCGCTGTTGAATGAAGCATATATGAGGGAGAAGCAGCCATTTCCACTGGCTTGGGATTTTTATTATCATGAGAAATGTCAGCAGTACTGCAACAGTAAAGTTCTCCTGCCTTTCTGGAGAACACAGTCTCTTCATTTTGACTAAATTTGCCCAAATTCATTAATGATTCAGCCCCATGAACATCCATTTTGGCCAAATTCTGTTGCCCTATATTCTCTGGAGTAACAATAATCAGCTGGTTCTCCAAATGAGTATTGAGATTGCCAATATATTTGTGCTCATTGTCTTTCAGATTAACAGGTGTAGACCCCATAGAGTATTTTGATAACCTTCTTTTTGATCTGTCTATTCCCTCTCTAAGACTTGATGTCCCAGAAGTCCCAGGATTTTTCAACTTGGAAATGCTTTTGCGTATAGATGATGGAGTCTCTCCATTTCTTACATATTTGCCAAGTAATAAGGTACCTGGCAGATTTAATGAAGGAGTATTAGCTCCAGCAGGTCTAGATGAATCAGGAGAAACCATTAATAACGGCTCTCTTCCAGAAAATGTTGATGGTGTTGATCCCTGTATTGGATTTTCATCTACTTGATTGTGATCAATGTCAGATAAATGCATTGCTTCTTTCAGATTAATTTCCTTCACCTGGTTTTCATTTAGATAGTGATATCCAAGATCATGCTTTGCTGACACCTCCAAGCAATCATCAACCTCTGGTAGGCTTTTCATACTAGCACCAGTAAAGCCTAATTGCTTTTTGGCTGGCCCAACAGCTTCTTTAACAGACTCCCTAGTTCCCTGCATACACATATTGATATTACACACACACACAAAGCAAATAAAACCTACAATGCTTTTAAGCATGTAACTTAACCAAAACAGCTGCAGATACAAGAATAGACACAAACCGCCACTGCAAGCAATGCATGCCAACAATCTAATTTGATCAATCACATAATGCAAGCAAGAAATTTTGTCTCCAGAAATGATGATGCATAAAACATAGCCAAGGGAGACACATCCAAGTAGATAACACAAACACAAAATGTTAGAGCTCCTCTGAAAAATAACAAGAGCATTATGACAAAAAAGTAATGCAAAATTAGAATTGAAAGACAGATAGAACTAGAAGTGAAACATTCAACATACTAAAGGAATAAACAATCCAGGAGGCCTAGAAAATCTTGCAAAAGTAGCAATTTTCTTTTAAATTGTGATATTCTTCCCAAACCATCCATAGCACATAACACAGAGTGGAATATTCCATGCATAAGCACCCCGGCTACTCAAGTGCCTGCAATTATTTAAATAACACAGAAGTTCTGATGTGCAGTGATAGAAAGAAGAAGAGAGAAGGAACCGAGAAATAGAAGCTGAATATGAATTCAATAATTCAAAGTTTGAAAAATGAGTACTATATTGCCTCTTATTTATAGGCATAAGATCTATTCTAATCCTATTCAAACCCTACTAATACAATAATGATTAAATATCAAACCTTAACTAACCCAATCATAAATCATAAATTATAAAACTCATCTAAATCCCAAATATTCTAAAATAAATAGATGTCCTAATCTTATCAAATAAATATATCTAAATCTATTTAAATAATCTAAAATAATATAATCTATTTAGATCCTAACTAATTATTAATTACATAACAAGTTCCCTCAAAAATGAAGGTATCAAACACTACAATCTGAAGAATAAAATATCCAACAACACAAATTATTTACAAACAGGTTTAACAAGGGGTCATTGGTCTAGCCTACAAATTGAATCATCAATAGACCACTGATATCCTAACCAGGTTTTCTACTAGAAACCATTTTGACAGACATATGTCCAAGCTTGGTATAATCCTGCATGTATTGGCTGTAAATAATTCAGATCAATGTACCCTCATTTTAAATCCAATTTACATTACCATCTGCCAAAGGAATTACACATCCGATAGAGACATGTATGTTGGGATGTAAATGCACAAACGTTCACATGAAGACCAACAAGCTTATTCACACATAGGTCTCCATAGCTGTAAGATATTATTCCTCCATGCAAGATATATAGAAGTGTAAATTGCCCTTTTAATAAATATCTTGGTTTCATCATTTTTAATATCATAGTAGTAACATTATTGGATATGAGTAGTACAAAAAGGAGGGATGAGTAGTGTCTATGAATGAAAATCAGAATGAACATCAAAAGATTTCAAGGGTGAGCTTCATGCTGATGGAGCTAAGAGACCAAAAAGAGGAGCTGCATGCATGCCTCTAGTCTAAGAAAAAATACTCAGAAAAGCTCACCCCATACCAAATACATCTCTAAAAACTTCGCAAAATAAAAACTGCAAACATCTCCAACATGAATATCAACAAAGAAGACAAACATTACTCCCAAAGGGAAATATATTCAAGCATGAATGGATGAGGTTACTTCACCACTCTCATCATCACCCTAATACTTCTAATAAGAATAAATCCATCATTGCCATCTAACTAGAAGGAAAAGGCCGAAGGTAGTAAGATCACGAACAAAATAAAACATTTGATCAGAAAACATAAATAACAAAAACAAGAGCCTATCTTGATACCAGCATAATGCATGAATGCCAGGCATTCATTAAAAATATTTCTTCCATTGCATAAAAAAATGCTTTAAACAAGTGAAAATAGATATGTAAAGCAAGAGATCAAGACTTCAATTAAATATTAACATGACATACTGCTTACATTGATTGTACAATCAGAGCTTTGGATTTTGTTGATGGAAGCATCAGCAACTGTATTATCACCTTCATCAAATAAGAGAATACTGGTGATTTCATTAATAGGAGAGCTCTTGAAAGATATATTTATCTCATCCAATTTTCTTGGAGGCAATGACATTTCATGTTTTGGAGCATCATTTATTGCTGAATCTGATTGGCTCCTCACCCCATTGTTGTTCTTCCTAATTGGAGATGCCTTACTTGGTTTTGATAAACCTGAGCCATTAGAATCTAACTTGGGGGCAACAAGCAAATCCTTGCTTCCTTCTGCTAAAATTGATTCTATTGAAGGAGAAAGTCTGTCATAATCAAATCTACGTGGGTTTTCTCCCACAATACTCATATCATTTGAATCTTTACTAACACATGATGTATCAGCAGGAACTAAGGGCTGAGGAGACAGCCTGGTAACTTTAGTAAGTTCCATAAAACTTCCTGATGCAGTGGGGCCAGAAGTTTGGCTAGGAGTTTTCTCTTCAAATGGAACGGCAAATCTAGTAGGGGTCTTAAGATCTCCAGTATCTGAACAAGCAAGACTACGGTAGTGCAATGAAAATGCAGTTGAATCCATCGTAAGATCATGATTATCATGTGAAGCGGCAGAGTCAGAGAGCTCCCCAGGTCTGATGAAACTTGCAGATACAGGTCCATGAAATTCATCTTCTGAAAAATGGAATTGGAACAAATTTAACACCAATGTCACGCAAGACATGTGTTCACTAAGAACAGATTAAATTAAAAGCTAATTTATTACGACAAATGTTAGCCTTCCAGTCAGGGTTCTCTCGTGCATATCAGCCACAAAAGTCTTTTTCCCCCGTTGATATAAACCCATTATCAAAACAATAGCATCCCAATTATTTAGTCGGGGTTCAACATCTTTTACCAGATTGATTAGATACAATCAGAATTCCAAAGTCCCAACAAACTCACAAGAAACATAGACGAAATTAGACATGTTTTAAGTGGGGAAATGCCCATTATTCGTGCAAAATTATTTTAAAAAAAAAATGGGGGGCTGAACCCATAGAAACCACTTCCTGCTCCGTTTTCCTTCCCACTTATTTTGCACTTCTCCCAACACACAAACAAAACTATGAGAGAACAGGGACTAGAAATTGCCATTGTCAGTTGAGGCGACGGAGCCAACAGTGCTACTGCCCGGAGAAGGAGAACCAATTGGTTTCAGGAAGGACTTTCTCACATTCACAGATTCACCATCGTCATCATTGTCGTTGCCATTCCCGCCTGAATTGCGCGGGGTCGACAACTCTTTGAGATCCTCCTCATCGCTATCACCGGCCAAGTCCCTAAAAAACCCTAGAACTTCGTTCTCCGGACTTTTCCCGTCGGTGGGAGAGAAGGGTTTGGTGGATTCGAGAGGCGATTCAGAGTCTTCATCGTCCCTGCGAAAGATGTGAACGGAGGTAATCTCATTGTCGGCGAAACTAACACGGCGAGCTCTCTTCTTTTTGAACGCAATGGTTTCATCTTCCGTTTCTGTGTTATTGGAAGGGTCCATTGCTGATAGAGAGGAGCTTTGAACTTGGCATACACGTGCGATGAAATATCACAAGCTTTGCAAAGTGGAACTTCAAATTTTCTTGTAGGAGGGAAAGTGAAGAAGCTGCCACATTTAAACAAAAAAGAAAAAAATTGGGTCGGCTCTGAAAATAAGGTGCATTTTACTGTCGTTTACCAGACAAGGAGAGGAGATTAATTTTAATGTTATTTATACGGTACTTTATTCTTCATTAGGTTCATCATTACCTTTTTATTTTTAATAAATATTAAAAAATTATTAAAAAAATAAATTGTTTCAAGTGTCCAAATGCGGGTGCTGTCAACGAATAAACTCGACAAGTTTTTTAAAAATAGAATAAGAGCCCATTTCTTTAAAATTAAAAAACAAATAATTTTTAGATAGTCCAGAAATTTTATCAAAATAAATTTATTTTATAAAGATTTTATAAAAAGAAAGTATTATTTTTGTTTGGATACAATGATAAAAAAAGTAATTATTAATTAGTTATTTTTAAATTTATGATATTTTCCTTTATTTTTGTTGTAAAAAATTATTATGATAGCGATTGTTTAGGTTTCAAATGCGGAGCATCATGCTACTTTAGAATTATCAGGCATGTTAAAGGAATAAATTCTCAAAAGAGTGCTTTTATTAAGGGTAAAGATGCATTTTTGCTCTTGAAATATTTCCCGAAAAATACCCAACACCCTAATGTTTTTGATAAAACAATTTTGTCCTTAAAGTTATTAAAATGGAGCATTTTTTTAACAGTCAACATCTAAGGTTAATGTTGAAATTTTGACGGAAAGGGCAAAAATACTCCTTTTTAATAACTTTAAGAGCAAAATTACTCCAACAAAAATACTAGAATATTGGGTGCTCTTCAAAAAATACTTTAAGAGTAAAAATGTATCTTAACCCATTTATCAAATAATTGTAAGCTCCCAGTATTCTTTACCATAATTTCCTTGAAATGCCAAAATAAGTTGAGAGATTAGATTATGTGAAAGTGAATGTGAAACACAAACTTGCTTTCACTACTAGAAAAACTAGCCTTTATATATGAATTCAATCTTATTCAACAAAACAAACTTTCATTTAGATTTACATCCTACACATTCCAAAAAATAAAGAAACATAATAATAGAGAGATATTTCACTACTTATTAAATTACATGTAAAGTGAAACATATTAAATGAAGTTCCTAAAAATCTCTCTATAAATAACATTTGTTGTGATACCTGCCCAATGAGGCAATATAATCTTTAGGCCTTTCTTTCTCTTAACTATTAATAACGCAATATATAATTGGCCATGTGTAAAAACTGGCTTCAACAGATGCAACCCAACATTGCCCAATGATTGCCCTTGACTTTTGCTGATTGTCACTGCAAATGAAACAATATTTGAGAATTACCTTATTTGCATGCAAAAGGGCTATTTACTTTTAGAAGGATTCATATCCATTATATGAATTAATATCTTCTCATTTTGCACCTTGGAAGCCTTGGACTTAATAGGTATAATATCCTTAGGCTGAAATGTTGGATAAGGAGGCACAGCGGAAGATTAAAATTTTAAAGTCCCTATCCTGATATGGACCGAACAAACTCGTTTAAGTTAAGGTGGATAGAAGAATTACCTTTCAATTCTTCAAACTTGGTGCATGTTCTCTTCAAGAATTTGGATCTCAGGAGTTGACAACGTAGATCTGCTCCTTCTAATAATATCCACACGAATAGCTCTCTAACTCGAACAACGTGCTAGCACTCCCAACATCCGTTCCTTTTTGAAAGTTAATTTTCCTTTCTAGAGAGTGTTTCGTAGCGCTCAAAGTGTTTTTGCTATCAGAACTTTTCTAACTCCCTCCTTCTTCATAAAGGACGTCCATATATATATATATATATATATGGTATATGGATCAGGGTTTTCATCTTCCACTTAAAAGCCTACGAAAATTTTATTAAATTTATCTCATAAAATTAATCCATGATATCATATCTAATTTGAATTTATCTTATAAATTTAAATTATAAAACTGACATGATATTCTCTTATATCATGCTAGTTAATAAATTTAATCTATCATATAAAATTAAATTTAAAACTAACATAACATAATATAACATAATATAATATAATATAATATATATTACATATACATATTACATATATACACGAATATATATACATATATATTTTGAAAAAAAAATATATATATATATATATTATATTATATATATTTAATTTTATATATCATATATATATGCATACACATATAAATATATATATATTTATCAAATAAATATTCAAATATATATATATATATAATTCATTCACCCTATATTACATTCATTGAATCTAGACATATTTCAGATTCAACTTGGACATTGTAGCTTAAGTTAGGCTATTCTTATGTGCGACCCTGTAGACTCATATGAAATTGGCAGTAAGCTAATTACGCTATTAGCCCACAAGTTGCAAGTGGCTTCTAGCAAGACATTACAACTACCCAATTCACATGGGGATTGATAATCTGATGTAACCTATCATGCAACTGTATCACATCCCTTTTATCACGCGATATTTCGGTTAAGTGTGAGACATGGAATTGTCATTCTCCTTTACATAACCGTTACTTTCTCGATCTTTGAGTGGACTGACTGTAGTAATGGAAAAACCCTTTTCATTATTATATGGCCATACATTTTCTCAGTCTTACTCATCGAGGGGCCCAGTAACATCTCTCATTTAATGTGAAGGACAAATTCCATCTTGACTACTCATATTCATCTGCATGAATATCACTAAATTCAATCATAGTCTTTATGACCATCCAGTCAAAGGTGACTTTTGACTAATTCAAAGATGGCTTTTGACTAGGTCAAACTTCAGTGATCATCATGTAGGAATCCATGATGATTTCAGGTCAAAGGACTTAGTGATATAGTTACATATGAGATAAGTTTATGACTTGTACCATGTAGCTTTCTCATAGCGAGTCGGTCCGGCACCTTGTACTCTTTCAACTGCCTATAACTTTGATTTGTATCTCTATAATTAATCAAAGTTATACTAGTCTTGTTTCATCTATGATCCCTCATAGATGACCAACCAAGGACATTTAGGACAACCATTATGTTTGTCTAAGAATACAGTTATCATACTAGACATGCAATTGATATAATAACAAAAGAAAAATTCATTAAATAACAATGTGCATAGTAAAATGATTGGCCTTAGGGCACAATTTCCAACATGAAAGTCTTTATGTTAAACTCATTGATTTAGATATGTAATATTGGCTCAAGATATTCCAAATCAAGACGCATTTTAATTCTTGAAAACAGAGTGAAATGTAATTTTCTATAATCATATTTTTTTTATCTTTAATCATCTCTATTTTACAAACATTGAAATGTTTTCACCACTAACTCCATAAAGTTTTTAAATTTTTTCTATTTACTCAAGATGAAGTTAAGTTGAAAAAAGTTATGAACATTTGACATCTATACTTTGAGCAACTAAGAAATAAGCTACACGATAATGAGACTCTCCTACTTGAAATGAGGGAATTGATGAAAGAAATCTGTAGCACTGTAAGGGACCAAGGTGCACCGAGGAATGATAAAGTAAGAAGTGATAGTAGAACTATCGAGAAGGAAGAGGAGATGTTTGAAGAAGAGGAAGTGTATGAGAAAAGTATACCCAAGCAACCTAGGGCTTTAGGTGGTAGTAGTTCTCAAAACTCCATAGACTAAGCTTAAAAGAGCTTATCACGGTTCAATCTGCCTACATTTGAAAAGAGTATGAAAGAAGGTGAAGTTAAAGAGTAGGTTGAGTGAGTTGAGACCATCTTTAAAGTGGTACCTTATTCGGAGGAACAAAAAGTAACCTTGGATTCATTGTTGCTTGTGAAGGAAGCCAAGCATTGGTAGAAGTCGATGAGACTGACGATTGGAGTTTGATGGACTTGGGATGAGTTCAAGATTAGATTCTTTGATTTCTACTTTCATATGGCCTTTAGAGCTAAGAAGGAGATAAAGTTTCATGAATTCAATAAGGAAATCAAGTTCAACCACCTTTCCAAATACTCCACATATCTCATAGGAATAATGACTTTAAATGGAAGGCAAATAGATTATTTGAGAAGATGAAGCCAGAGTATCAACAACAGTTGGCCTTATTCGAGATCACATATTACGATAAGATGTGTGATAAGCTGAGGATTGCAATAAGAAGAAGAAGAGAGGCAAAGATAGAGAAGAGAAGAGATAGCTAGGGCAGGTTTTCACATTCACTTGTCCCTATAGATAGAATTATCAAGAGATATAGTTTTAGCTCCAATAATTCTAGAAGATTTGGGAAGAACTTTTAAAAGGGATCTCATGTAATATCTTAGAGAATTTAAACCATAATTAATTAAGTAAATAAGGTTAATTAAGTAAATTAATGTGGTGTGTGGTTATAGAGTTAATGGGTGTTCTGGGTTGTGATTTCAGCCTTAGGATTGAGCCCGGAACAAAGTTGGGCCACCCAAATGTCAAAAAGTGAGAAAAACATAGAGAAATGACTCTATACCATATGTTGTGGTGTGTGCATGGCATGTCACAATGTACGATGTAATGTCCACCTTGACATTACTAGGACAACACTCACACATAATTGTGATAACTCGAATTAAAATAAAATCCTCTAAAGAAGTTACCACAATTCAAGGGTTTAAAGGTAATTAATTTAAAATATTGGGATCCCAAGAAAACCCCTTTTAAAATATTGTTTGAGTTCAAACTATGATTAAAAATCGATTAAGAGCAAATATGGAAGCATAAGAAACAAACTACATCAAAATCTAGCTTAAATGCCATTTTTTAGCAAATACTGGTCCGTCCACCACGGCGGATGGCACAGAGGGACAAGTCTCTCGAAGGCCTAATGTGCCATGGCACAACAACCATACGCCACGACGTGCACCTACTATCATGATAGCAGATTGCTGTCATGGCATGTCTTTGAATTTTTGGAGCGCACTGTTTTGCCATCCGACATCTGATTTGAGCGATTCAATTGTCCACACAAAGCTCTTTGAGCCCTCTAGCTAATAGCACCAATTTCATACTCAAACAATC